CCTTTGCATATCCATGGAGCAAAATTCAAACAATCCCAGCCACACCGTTCCTTTACCAGGAAGCAACCACTGCTATCAAAAGTCTTTGCGTATCATTCCAGAGATATTCTAAGCGCTGCTAAGTACAGATATACACAAATGATACACAATGTTATGGCCTTACTTTTTTCCTTAGTATATTTTGGAGTTCATTCTATTATCAGTATTTATAAAATTGGATCATTCCCTTAACAATTGTATAGTTATCTGTATTAGTTATCTATAGCTGCATAACAAATTTAGTGTCTGTAAACCATACATTATCTCACAATTTCTGTAGGTCAGGAGTCCAGACAGTTTATCTGAGTCCTCTGTATTAGGGTCTCTCACAAGCTATCAGCAAGGTGTCACCTGGAGCTATATTCTAATCTCAAAGTTCAGTTGGGGAAGGACCTGCTTCCACATTCATGTGCTTGTTGGCAGATTTCAATTCTCTGTTGGTTGTGGGATTGAGACCCTCAGTTTCTTGCTAGGTCAGGCCACCCTGAATTCCTTGCAGGTCAACCTCACATCTAGGAAGCATACAATATGGAAGCTGGCTTCATCAAAGTCAGTAAGAAAGAGTCTGCTAGTGAGACAGATTTATTATCTTATGTAATGTAACCATGGAGCTCACATCCTGTCACCTTGGCCACATCCTATACATTAGAAGGAAGTCACATATCCCACACACCCTGAAGGGATGGGGGTTACACTAGGCCTGGGTACCAGGAGGCAGAGATAATTGGAGACCATCTTAATGTCTGTCCATTAAAGCATCCATTGTATATAGATGAGCTATAATTTATTTAACAAGTTTCCTCTTAATGGACATTTAAGTTGTTTCCAGTATGTTTGCCAGTATGAGTAGTGCTGCAATCAATATCAATATTTCATTCTGCACATGTGCTATGATTTTACTTGTTGTGGGATTAAATTTCTAGAAGTAGAATTTCTGGGTTAAATGCAATGTGCATTTATGATTTTGATAGTTGTTGCCATAGTGATTGTAGAAGTTGCACCAGTTTACATTCTATAGGTGATGTATGATACCTGTTTTCCGACAAATTTGCCAAGGTTGTGTGTCATCAATCTTTTAGATCTTTGCAAATGAGATCTTTTTTTTCACTATCAGATTGCCAAAAACCTAAAATCTAGCAATAGAAAGTATCGCTTAAAATTAAATACCTGCCTGAAGAAATCGTGCTTATTGGACTATTGAAGGGAAAATACCTTAATATTTTAAAGACTTTGTATTGTCATAGTGGTTTTTATTCCTTTTTCCAATTTTGTAATATATCAACATATCAATAAACTGAGCTCCCCCTCCAAAAAAATAAAATAAAATATTGCTCCTTTTACATAAATCTTGGGTGGGAACAGAAATTGGATCAGTTACATGTGCACATATGAAAAAAACTGAAAAGAATTTGATGGTATTTAGTGGAAACAGAAAGCTATATATTCTGAAACTCAGCAATTCTGTTCGTAAGTACAGATGCTAGAGGAACTCTTGAACATGGACTGAAGGAGGTGATATGTACAGAATATGTGCACACACACAAAATCATGTTTCACATTAAGAATTCACCTACTAGGGGCCTCCCTGGTGGCACAAGGGGTTAAGATACAATCTGTGAAGCTCACCGCAGCCACTGCAGCACAAGTTCGATCCCCGGCCTGGGAGGTGACCCACATGGCACAGCAGACCTCTCCTGACTTGCCCGCAGCTCCCCTCAGCAGTATATTTCAGTCAGTCTGCCTGTTCTGTTCCCCACTCTGTCTCTGGTGGATCCTCTCCCCCTCCCCCATCTCTGGCCTGTACCCCAGCTCTTATATGCATAAATAAATAAATCTTTAAAAAAAAAAGTTGGCCCAAAAGAAAAATAGGTGAAAGAGTAACAATTAATCCACAGAAAAGGAAACCAGAATAGCCAATAAACATGAAAAGATACTCAACTTCAGTAATAATCAAGGAAAGGCAAAACAATAATGAAATAACATTTCCACCAAAAGACTTGGCAAAAATAAAGTTTGGCAATGGCAACAGGCAAAGATGCCAAGGGTATGGGGAAATCCAACAAAACCAATGACAAACTTAGAATTATTAAGAGAGTTTAGCAACATTGCTGGATACAGAACAACATTCTAACTAAACAACTATAAAAGGTAATATAAGATGTCCTTTGCAACAGAAATAGAAACTAAAAATGTCTAATGACAAATTCATAAAATGTGCAAGAATTTTATGTTCAGCCAGGATATGGAAACAGCCTAAATGCAAAAACAGATGACTAGATTATGAAGAAGGGGTATATATATGTATATATACATATATGTACATATATATGGTACACACACACTGGAATACTAATCAGCAATCAAAAAAGATAAACTCATCCATTTGCAGCAACGTGCATGAAGTTAGACAAGATAATGCTAAGTGAAATAAGTCAGAAGGGAAAATATAAATACTGCATGTGTCGCTAATAAGTGGAATACAGAGGAACCAAACTAAGAACCAGAGAAAGGCAACCTTAAAAGCTAACTCTTGAAAATTGTCTATAGATCTGAAGCATCCAAGGAAGTAGGGGAGGGGTAGGAAAGGAAGAAGGAAGCCATACAATGGTCTATGGCAGTGGACTATGGGTAATTTGGTGACAGGTACACTATACTAGTGATACATGGAAAGAATCCTAATCTTACCACAATCTTACCAATAAAAAAGAATAAATTATTTGGGCCTCCCTATGGCGCAGTTGGGCCTCCCGGTTGCGAAGTGGTTGAGCTGCAGGGCCGGTTCGATCCCCGCAGCCTCCCAGCGTGGAGGAGGATCCCACTGGTCCCAGGGCTCCTGCTGCTCACAGTGTAGACCTTCAGCCTGCCTGCTGTTTGCTCCCCGCTCTGGCTCTGGTGAATTCTCTCTGCTCCTCCCTCTGGCTCTGAATGTACCCAGTGCTTGTACCCAAATAAATAAATAAATAAATCTTAAAAAAAATTAAAAAAAAAAATAAAATAAAACTATGGGAAAATTATAGTAGTTTAATGAGGACTATAAAAAGACAGGTTAAATAAATGGAGAAATAAACACCATGCGAAGACATGGGAAGGCTCAGCATTTTAAACATATCATTTCTCCCCACATTAATTGATATGTTCAAAGGACTTCCAAGTAATATCCCAACAAGATTTTTCAGTCAATCTGACAAGGTGATTTTAAAATCATTAGAGTAGAGGTGTACAAATAGTAGTGGTGGTGGTGGTAGGAGCAAAAGTAAAAATAGTAGTAGCAGTTCACACTTACTGTGAGCTAGTTTTGGGGGCAAAAATGTGGGTGCCACACCCTACTAAGTATAAAAGAATGTTGATCCCTAATGACTGGACAATGAGATTTTTTTTTGCTCAACATTGGAAGGGTTTTTTTTTTTTTTTTTTTAAGAGAAAGCTGTACAAAGATACTGTCCCCATTATTGGAGGTAAGTGAGCAGAGACTGGACAAGTACTTGACAGAAGGTTATAGATTCCTTTTTTCTTTGATTCCTCAAATTTTTGGCAAACACCTCCTCCCTCAGCCAGGTGCAAGAACCTGAAGTCCTTAATTTCAAGAGTTTGGCTAAACAATCCAATCCTCCAGTTCTCTGAGTTCTTTGTTGCTGACATTCAGCACTAAAGTGTGCCTGTGCGAAAGAATGACTGGAAACCCAGTAAGTGAAAAGTGGCTTTTGTAAGATTTCAATTAATTTCCTTTATCTAAGCTGTGCATCAAGCCCACTTGTACTGCATGTGAAAATAAATGGAGGGGGTCATTTGGGTGGTTTCCAAATCTTGCCTATTATAAATACTATCGAAAAAAACATCAGAGTGCAGGTATCCTTCAAGAAGATGTGGAATTCCATGCAGCGATCAAAAAAGATAAAATCATGCCATTCTCAACAACATGGATAGAGATAGAAGGGATTATGCTCAGTGAAATAAGTCAGAAGGAAAATGAAAAATATCGGATGGTTTCACTTATAGGAGGAATAAAGGCAAACCAAATAAAGGATGAGGGAGAAAAATAATAACATAAAAAAATTAACAAGCAACTAGAAATCAGAGACATACTGCAAGGGAGGAGGAGGGAGAAGGATCAAAACAAGGGCTGGAAGAGCGCAAGGGACTATGGTGATGGTGCACGGGTGAACTGATTGTGGGAATTCTATGGGGACTACACCTGAGAAAAGAAAGCAAACATTCCTGCCATGAGTGAGACCATCTGGTATTTTTTTCTTTTTTCTTCTGGCTTTTTTTGCTGAGCATGATCCCTTCCAGCTCCATCCATGTTGCTGCAAATTGCGTGAGTTTATCTTTTTTGATTGCTGAGTAATATTCCATTGTGTATATGTACCACATCCTCTTGATCCAGTCATTTATTTAAGGGACCAGGAAAAAGACTAATTATAATAAAGTAAAAATCAACAAGCAACAAGCAACTATAAACCAGAGACACACTGGGGACGGGGGGAGGGAGTAGGATCAAAAAAGGGGGGAATGGGAATTGTATGGGGACTATAACCAAGATGAAAATGCATACATTGTGCAAAAATGAAAAATGATGCAAAAAATACACAAAATAAAAATAATATCAAAAAAAAAGAAAGCAAACGAACAAAAATGAACAATGATGTAAAATATAAATGAATAAGAAAATAAGTAAACAAATAAATAAAAAGATTAAATTTTACTGAAGGGACATTCAGAGACCGGGGAGGGAAAAGCAATTCCGGGTGGAAATTAGGTGGGAAAAAATCGGGGGCGTGGGAGAAAACAATGTCCTAGTCTTCTGCGGGTTTGACTCCCGGCCTCTGCGGCCCGCAAACCCCACAGACACGGAAGGAACGGGCAGGTGGGCCATTCTGGGGCCCGGAACCTCTCGAACGCGGTTCTGGCCGCAGCGCGCCCGGGGAAGCGTTTGGGCGCCGCGCCGCGCCGCGTCTGCCCTTCAGCCGGCGCGGGGAGGAGACGGCTCGCGGCTCGGCCCGGGCCGTGGTCTCGGCGGTGTCCTTTGAGGTCGGCGGCCCAGGCCAGGCCCCAGGGGGACGGCGCCAAGATGATGAGCGGACGGCCGGGCCGAGAGCCCTTGAAGTTCCTGCCGGAGGAGGCCCGAAGCCTGCCGCCGCCCAAGCTGACCGACCCGCGGCTCGGCTACATCGGCTTCCTGGGCTACTGCTCCGGCCTGCTGGACAACGCGATCCGGCGGCGGCCGGTGCTGCTGGCGGGTGAGGCCCGGGGGACTCTGGGGGGCCCCGGAGGGCCGGCGGGGGGCGGGCGGCGGGGGCGGGGCCGCGGCCGGCTCCGCCGTGGGCTGCCCGGGCCTTGGCTTTTCCGGGCCTCTCGCCCCGCCTCGCCTCCCTGGACGCCCGCGCCCCTGAACCCTCTGGAATCCGTCGAGGCGGGATCTGTCACTTGGCACTTAAGGAAACTGAGGTCTGGTGCAGCCCGCGCCCCTAGTGAGGCCACTGGACCGCCTGCCCCCCTCAATTTTGCACGGTGTGTGCAAAGATGAGCGTTCACTCCATGCCATGCACTAGTGGCATACGTTATAATATGCATTTATTTATTTATTTAATTTTTTTGGTGGGCCCCTCGCCAGCGGCCGGGGATCGAACTCGCGCTGCAGAGTCGCAGCCCAGCGCTCAACCGCTGCGCCACCAGGGGAGGCCCAATATGCATTTCTTTTTTAAAAAAAGATTTATTTATCTATACATACAAGAGCTGGGGCTCAGGCCAGATGCGCAGGAGGGTGAGCGGATTCACCAGAGACAGAGAGGAACAGAACAGGCAGACTGACGAAATACACTGCTGAGGGGAGCCGTGGGCGAGACAGGAGAGGTCTCCCGCACCATGTGAGTCGCTCCCTGGCCGGCTGGGGCCGGGGATCGAACTGGTGCTGCAGAGGCTGCAGACAGCTTCACAGCGCAGTGCTTAACCCTTTGCACCAGCAGGGAGGCCTAATGTGCGCTTCTTAAAGCACCCTCTGAGGAGGCGTTCCCCACAATACGGAAGCTAAGCCTTGAGAAGGTTAAAGCAGTTTGCCCAAGGTCACATGGCCATTAAGTAAAGAACCTGTTTTGAGACCTTAGAGTCTAAATTTAAAATCAGTACTTCTCAGTTTAATATGCATAGAATAACTTGGAGCTTGGGAAGAAGCGAATTCCCTGATGCTGCTGAGTAGGAGACTGGAAATCTGTGGAGTGTTTCCTGCTGTTAGTGACCTTGCAGAGACTAACTGACTATGCTGATAGACTGACAGTCCTGGTAATAGAGCAGCTGTGCTAAGGGCTATGGACTTCCAAAGGAAAAAGGAGGGGCACTTTAAAGAGTCTTTGAACTTAGCTTTGATTTATCAAGCAGATACTAGAGAGAGCCTTCTAGGCCCATGGGAGGCGAGTGGGACCAAATGGAAGCAAAGACCTCTAATGGGTGGAAGTTTGGTAATTGAGTGAGTGAGTGTGCATGATAGGGCACATAATAAAGCCACAGAGGAGATTTAGTTAGATAGCCACAATTTATTCACTAGTCTGACAGTCTTACAAGCTTTGTGGGGTGAGGGAAAGATGTGAAGAGACCTGTGTTTGTTTTTTATTTTTAATTCTATCCTTATATTTTATTAAAAGGGTAAAAACATCATGAATTCAAGCTGTTTGCTTGAATTATAAAAGTAATGTGATTCAATATGAAAATAACACACTAAATCTCTGACAGTAGTAAATTGCAATATACAATGCATACAGGAATCATACAGAGCAATAAACTCGTACAAAACAATAATATTTTAGTATCCATAAAAATCCAAATTTTTCTTTTAAAATCATTCATGAAAAAGATTCTCAAGTCAGAATTAACACCGCTATTAGTCAAGCATCAGGAAGCTACATTACAGCTATTTCCTTCTAATGCAGACCTATTAAAAGATAAAGTTTGTCATCTCTGTGAAACACTAATTGGAACTAAGGAGTCAGATTAGAAGGCAAGTTAAAACAATGGTTCAGGCAACCAGTAATCACCTCCCTTTTGCCTCTTGCCTGGAGGGCTTTTCCCTGTCACCAAATCTCAACATTTCCAGTGATCATATAGTATCAAAATCCCATCTCATTAATTTGATCCCACACCACAGAAAGCAGATAAATGATCTTTATCCTATCCTGCCCCTGGGAACTGGCAATTTCTCCTTTTTCATCTCTGCCCCACATTTGCCCAAATCTGTCTCTTGGTATGATGGAAAGAGCTTCACTTGGAATTAAATGTCCTTGCTGCACTGCTTCACAGCTATGTCACCTTGGGCTAATTACTTGATCGGGCCATTCAGAGCCAAAGTTTCCTTACCTATAAAATGACAATAACTAATCTTTGCATATTTGCGTTAAATGAGATTCTATAGGTAAAATACCTGGCATACAGAAGGTGGTGGACAGAGTTCCCTCTCCTTAGCTCTTGTTACAGTTCACTGTGTATTTGTTCAACCTTAATTGAGCACCTCTGTAGCTAGCAGTGTTACAAAGTGAGTGTATAGGGTGAGGAATACCAACCTTGCCCCTGAGGAGCTCCTCATAGAGTCTGGGAGATAAATAGACCATTATTGATAAGTGTTTTGATAACAGTGGGTGAGCAATATCTCTTTGAGAGCATGAAGGAGGTACATATTGGAAGACTGTTCCAAAGAAAGTAAAGATTGGTTGAAATGTGAAGCACATTCCTCTTAATCTTAATTCATTGTCAAACCATGTTTCTTGCCTTTTCTGGGAGACAGAAGAGCATAGTGAGAGACACTCCGTGGGGGCTGGGGGCGGGGAGGGGAGGGATTGGGGTCAAAATAAGGGGGTCACAATTGTATGGGGAATATAAAAATAAAATTTATAATAAAAAAAATATTCTGAATAAAAATCTTGTCAGACACGTGAAGAAAAAAAAAAAGAGCATAGTGGTTAAGAGCACATGCTTTTTAGGTTTGACACCACCACCATCAAATAAGTTTGATTTTCAGAATGTTACCTATCTCTGTGATCTTCAGATTCATCATCTATAAACCAAGGATAATATCTATAATATTGCTTTGTATGATGAGAATCAGAGGAGCTGATATATATAAGCATTTAGCCCAGGACTAGGGATCAGAGTTCCTGACCTTCCATAAATTGCTTTAGAAAATTTAGGTATTGAGGACTTACTGAAATGATTATCCTCAGCAGCTTTTATTGAATGCATATTGTGTCTTCTAGTTCAATGTCTGGCATATAGTGGTTCTCTTAAGTATTGAATGAACAAATATGTGTAAATTATAAGTAAGTATAAAGCATGGTCCCAACTCTTCAAAGGATTACAAATTCATTGAAAACAAATTCATTGAAAAGATGAATTGTGATATGAGATTATGCAAATAGGGTAACAGGTGTGACCAAGTTAGAGGATCAGGGAAGGGGAGAGTTAGGGTGGGTTTTCCAACTATAGCCATGGAAGGTGCCTGGCTTTCTGTGGGTAGTATTGAAATATTCTATTAATGAAACCAAAGGTTAGCAGAAAATATCAAATTTTTTTCTTTAGTTTTTCTCCCATTACTTGTTTAAAAACCCTTGTTTTAGTTACAACTACCTGTTCTAAATTCAAGAGTTAGTTGGTATCTAAGTGTAGTGAACATATTATATTAAATATTAGGTTGTTGGAAAAGTCATGACATTTTTTTCTGTTTTCTATGCAAAATGCATCATGACTTTCTGACAGCCCAATATTTATTGATTTCTAGTTTAATGTAGCACTAATTTATGGAGTACCATGGCCTCCAAATTTAGGTCCACTAAGGAAAGAAGGGGGAAATGATTGTGGAGGGCTTATAAATGTGGTAAGAGTGAGGGCCACTGGCTTGGGGGTGGGGGCAGGGAGTAGGGAAATAGTGATGTGCTGAGAGGCCAGGCCGTGCTGTGCCCTTAGAGCCGGGACACTGTTGTTTTCTGAAACATTGATGGAGCATTTTTCTGTAAGGGGTAGGGTAAGCAGAGAGATTCTGGGTCTTTGTATCTGTGTATCTTTCTATCTGTGACCCACAGGAAAACCCTGTATAGTATGTGTGCTCTGCTTCAGGTGGTCCATTAGTGCTGTTTAGGGTGAGAGAGAATCCAGCCCCAGGGAGGCCCTATGCAGGAGTTGGAACTCCTGTTGGGTGTAGTTGCAGAAGGAGCTGGCAAACTAGATTTGTATATTAGTAAAAATTCCTTTAGCTGGGGTCAGTGTGGATGGGGAAATAAGATGAAAAAGAATTAAGTTCCTTGAGCCTCCCCTGGTGGCACACGCAGTTGAACACTGCGCTGTGAGGCTGTCTGCAGCCTTTGCAGCGCCAGTTTGATCCCTGCCGGCTGGCGAGGGTCCCACATGGCACAGCAGACCTCTCCGTCTCACCCGCTGCTCCCCTCAGCAGTGTATTTCGTCAGTCTGCCTGTTCTGTTCCCAGCTCTGTCTCTGGTGAATCCTCTCACCCTCCCGCGCATCTGGCCTGTACCCTGTTTCTTGTATAAATAAATAAATAAATAAATAAATAAATCTTTAAAAAAAAATTAAGTTCCTTGAAGTGAGGAAAGAAAATATTTCCAAGATAGAATTGGCAGGACTCAGTGACTGGATGTGGGGAAAGAGGGTGTTTATTATTCAGGTCTTAGATATTTGAGTAAGTAGTCTTACTCTCAATTAAGAGAAAGAGGTATCAATGGAAGGAAATAAGTTCATTTGGGGCTATTCGGGTATAGCTGTCAAACACTTGGAGATACATGTTATTCAGCCCAGGTCTATGAGTTGAACAGACTATGGGTTATCAGCACATGGATAGTACATAATATTATAGGTGTAAGTTAATTATTTGAAGGAATATTTATGGACTCGGAAGAGGACTGAGGAGAGTGTTCTGGGGCATAGCTAGAAAATCAAGCCTGCAGTTAACCTTTTGCAAAAAATGTTTCTGCATATAAAGTTCATACCTTTGGATCACCCCCTTAGACTTTAAATTTTGTCTTTCCCTAGATCATGTGATTTGATCCTCTCCGGTCAGTTATAATAGGATGATTTTTTTAATAGGATGATAATAGGGCATACCTGCAAATGCTACAAAATTTACAAGATACAAAGGAAAAGGGAGGTCTATTTGTAGAATAACATGCGGCTTTAGTAATCACAAATATGCAAATATAAATTCTCACATGAAGACAAACCAAATAGCTTTAGGTATCCTGAACAGGTCCTAGACTGTAAGTTTTTAGATCTAAAATCAGGTTTTTAAAAAAGGAAAGAGTTTTTTCTGTTCTCAGTCTAGTATTCAGGATTTTGTACTTTCTACCCTTTTCCACAAAGATATTTATGAAACCTGAATTTTTAAACTCTTGGCCTCTATTGATTGTTATGTTTGTAGACTGAACGTTGCCTTTTATAACTGCCAGAGGAAGGCAGGGAGAAGCCTCAAGGTCAAAGTTGTTTGTTCAGACTAACCATATAGAAAAGCTCCCCCCTTTTTTTTTAAAGATTTATTTATGAGTATAAGAACTGGGGTGCAGGCCAAAGGTGCAGGGTGGTAAGAGGGCTCATCAGAGACAGAGTGGGGAGCAGAACAGGCAGATGTACTGAAATACACTGCAAAGGGAGCAGCAGGCAAGACAGGAGAGGTCTGCTGCATCATGTGGGTTAGCTCCCTTGCCAGGGATCGAACTCATGCTGCAGTGGCTGGCGATAGCTTGATAGAGCTGACTTTAGCCCCTGTGCCACCAGGGAGGTCTGAAAAGCCCCCTTTTAAAAAGAATATTGAAAGAAATAATAATTACATATATATGAATTATTTAAAAATTAATTTTTAATACACATTGACTTTTGCTTTCTTTGGCATTTGTTATTTGAATTTCAGGTTTGCATCGCCAGCTTCTATATGTTACTTCCTTTATTTTTATTGGATATCATCTTTTAAAACGTCAAGACTATATGTATGCTGTGAGGGACCATGATATGTTTGCATATATGAGATCACATCCGGGGGATTTTCCTGATAAAGGTAAATTTTATTTATTTTTTTTTGGGGGGGAAACTCATTGTTTTTATTTGGGCATTTGGAGGAAGAGTAATTCTAGAAGGCTGCAAATCCCAGGAATGCTCAAATTATAATGCAATTTTAAAAATTGCTGTGATATTTAATATTAATCGATACAAAATTCAAAAATACCTACGTACAGTTTATCAAATGACAAAAAAGTGAATCTATTGTAATCATTAATTAGAATGTTCCCAGGAGTCTGAAAGCTGCCTAAGTACCTTTCCAAACATATTTGTCTCCCTGGTTCTTTTTTTTTTTTTTTTTTTTTTAATTAAATTTTATTTTTATATTCCCCATACAATTGCAATCCCCCCATTCTGACCCCAATCCCTCCCCTCCCGCCCCCCATCCCCCAAAAAGTGTCTCTGGTTCATAGTTTTTGTTGATTTTGATTTTCACTTTCTTATAGTTATTCATTTTCCTGGTCCCTTATTTAAGTTTTCTAGATTCCTGCTATGAGTGAGACCATCCGGTATTTTTCTTTTTCTTTTTGGCTTATTTCACTGAGCATGATCCCTTCCAGCGCCATCCATGTTGCTGCAAATTGCATGTGTTTATCTTTTTTGAATGCTGAGTAATATTCCATGGTATATATGTACCACATCTTCTTGATCCAGTCATCTATTTTTGGGCATTTGGGCTGTTTCCAAAGCTTAGCTATTGTAAACAGTGCTGCTATAAACATAGGGGTGCAGGTGTTCTTTGGAATTGATGTTTCTGTGTTCTTTGGGTAAATGCCTAGGAGTGGAATTGCTGGATCCTGTGGAAGCTCTATGTTTAGTAGGTCCAGAAATCTCCACACAGCTCTCCATAGTGGTTGGACCAGTTTGCACTCCCACCAACAGTGCAGAAGAGTTCCTTTTTCTCCACAACCTCGCCAACATTTGTTGTTGCTAGTTTTTTTAATATGTGCCATTCTCACTGGTGTAAGATGGTATCTCATGGTAGTTTTGATTTGCATTTCCCTGATTGCAAGTGATGTTGAACATTTTTTCATATGCCTGTTGGCCATTCGCATTTCCTCTTCAGAGAAGTTTCTTTTTAGCTCCTCTGTCCATTTTTTGACTGGATTATTTTCTTTGTTGTTGTTGAGTCTCATCAGCTCTTTGCAGATTTTTGTGATCAGTCCTTTATCATTAGTGTTGTGTGCAAAAATGTTCTCCCAGTTGGTGGGGTTTCTCTTTGTTTTTGTTATTGTCTCTTTTGCTGTGCAGAAGCTCTTTAATTTGATGTAGTCCCAGCTGTTGATCTTTGCCTTCACTATCACTGCTTTGGGTGATGTGTCTGTAAAGATGTCTTTGATATGCAAATCACTTAGTGTTTCGCCTGTATTTCCTTCTATGTATTTTATGGTTTCAGGTCTTATGTCTAGTTCTTTAATCCATTTTGAGTTGATTTTTGTATATGGTGTGAGGTAGTGGTCAAGCTTCATTCTTTTGCATGTAGCGACCCAGTTTTCCCAGCACCATTTATTGAACAAACTTTCTTTGCTCCAATGCATAGTCTTTGCTCCTTTGTCAAATATTAGTTGACCATAAATCTGTGGGTTTATTTCTGGATTTTCTATTCGATTCCATTGGTCTGTATGTCTGTTCTTGTTCCAATACCATGCAGTTTTGATGATTATGGCTTTGTAGTAGAGTTTGAAGTCTGGGAGTGTGATGCCTCCATTCCCTTCTTTTTTTTTTTCAGGAGAGCTTTGGCTATTCGGGGTTTTTTGTGATTCCATATGAATTTCATCAATAATTGTTCTATTTCTTTGAAGAATGACATTGAAATTTTGATTGGAATAGCATTGAATCTGTATATTGCTTTTGGTAGGATGGCCATTTTAATAATGTTTATTCTCCCAATCCATGAGCAGGGGATGTTTTTCCATTTCTTTGTGTCTTCTTCTATTTCTTTTAACAGTGTTTTATAGTTTTCTTTGTATAGGTCCTGATAAAGGTAAATTTTAAATTAACAGTGAAAAACCTCTTTCTTACTTTGTATTATTTTCCCTGGTTAATCTTAACCATGTCTGTGGTTAAGCACTTCCTATGTTATGTTGATTCCCACAGTTTTGTCCATAGACTAGAATTCTTTTGAACACATATCTAATTTCTGGCTGAATGCCCCTGTATCCTTTGGACAGCAAACCAAGCTCATGTCCACTTTGCCTGCCCAGACTTCCTGTTCTTCTGTGTTCTGCTTCAGTTAATGGCACTTCCAGCCAGAAACCTGAGAATCATCTTCCAGTTTTTCTCTTTCATTTCCCAGTCATCATCAGGTCTTACCAGTTCTACTTCCTAAATATTCCTCAGCTCTTAACTGTCCTTTCTCTTCCATTGCCACTACCAAGCTTCAGGTCCTGATACTCTCTCTTAAATTATTGCACTTGCCTCCAGCTCGCCTCTGCCTCTGGTCCTTTCTCCCTGGAGAGTTGTGGATATGCTTAAAACGAATCCCTTAAAATAACTATCCATTGCCTATGGGATAAAGTCCAGATTCCTTAGGATGACTTATTCCCTTGGGGGAATTGCTGGGGGGAATTGCTTCATAGACCCACTTTACCTCCATTCCTTTTATCCACCACATTACATACACATGGCTATGTCCCTCGCTGCACCACAGCTTCATCTCTGTTTCCTTAGCCTCTAGCACAGAGGCTGTGCTGAACATAGTAGACACTTAAATAATAGCTGGTCTGAACAGAGCCTGCCTCACTTCTCATCACTCATCTCTTGCCTCAGGAATGCTGTGTCCTGACCTGCCTTTTATCACCTTGTACACACTGTACCTTCTTCTTGACCCTCTTTCCTCATTTCTGCCTTGTCCACCTAGCATATTCTTGCTCAAGATTCATCATCTGGTTGAATCCTTCACCCAGCTACAGACAAGACTTTCCTCAGCACTCTGTTTAATCTCTGTTCACTATGAAAATCTCTGTTCACTGTTTTCTTGTTTGTATTTTACACAGATACACTCAGTGCAGTACAGGTGTATACACATGGGAAGGAATGAATGAGTGGAATGTTTTGAGCTTGTAAATACATAAATAGATTTTTCCTGTTCATGTTAATGTATAATATTAAGTCTTTAAATCTCATTAGACTGACGATCTGAGGTCCTATTTAGTTCTAAAATTTTATTATTCTATATAGTATTCCCATAAACTTAAGTCACTTATGCGAATTTATAGTGGATCAAAAGTACAGCTTTTTTGGCCAATGAATTGCCCAAAGATCAGTACAAAACCATGATAGTAGATGTATCAGGGATAGGGGATACCCAGAACTGTTGGATTTTAGAGCTGGAAGGAATCACGGAAATTGATTCCTAAGAGTGAGACCCAATGACAGAGCAGTCCTCATCCCAGACCTCTGACTCTTGCTGTTGTATTTCCACTAGCTCCCTCTGTCAGCAGGACCATGCATAGTTTCAAAGGCTGGTTCTGTCCTGCACAGCAGGCATGGTAAGAGCCTCACACACTGACTTAAAGGGCATGGCCGCTGGGCTACTTCAGCTCCCAACCTCTGCTAGCTGACCTATGACCCTGCCTGTTCATCCTACTCCATTCCTTTAGCTGGGATCCCCCTGGCAGCACTCCAGGCAGCCATTTTGATGTCACCACAGATTCCTCCAAAGTTGTTGTTCTTTTATTGAAATAATATGCCTCACTGATTGTTAAGCCATGATTGAGGACAAGAAAATTCTTAGGGGTTTCTATTTATAAGAATGTTAAATGTTGATTTGTCTTTAGAAAATATGATTTATAAAAATTTTTAAAAATCTTTTCTGATCTTTCCATTTATAGATAAGAAAACATACAGTGAAATTCTCGAAGATTTCCATCCCGTGCGTTGACATCTCCAAAATGTTTGCTCTGGTTTCACTGATACCAGTTATTTTTGAATTTTATGGAATATGTTTCTATGACATCTGAAGTTAATGTTCACACTTGTGATTAAAGTGATCATCATGAGCACTCGGACTTCTCTTGTTATAAGGAAAGTAGTTCATCAAAGAATAGTTTCCACTCACCCAGATGCACGAAAATATCTGATAGATGTTAAAATGGAGTGCAGTTCTAGTTCAGAGTTGGCCAACTACAGCCTGGGCGCCAAATCTGGTCCACTGCTGATAGAGTTTTATTGGAACACAGCCATTCTCATGCACTTACATATCCTTTATAGCTGCTTCTATGCTACAACAGCAAAGTTGAGTGGTTGATGACAGACTTTCTGGCCTGCAAAGGCTAAAATATTTAGTATTTGGCCCTTTACAGAAAGGTCTGCTTCAGTTCTAGTACATAATGAATACAAAGCAGGCTGGATTATGGAAGGCTTGTGAGTCATTAGAATGATTTTGATTTGATCTTCTAGGTAAATGGGAACAACATGGTCTGGTTTGTATTTCTGGACTGTGTCTATAAACAGTACAAAGGCAGTTAGAAAAAGGAGACTCAAGGGCCTCCCCTGGTGGCGCAGAGGTTGTGCGCTGTGCTGCCAGGCAGCCTGCAGCCTCTGCAGTGCTGGTTCGATCCCCGGCTGCCGGCAAGTGTCCCACATGGAGTGCAGACCTCTCCTGCCACGCCCACTGCTCCCCTCAGCAGTGTGTTTCGTCAGTCTGTCTGTTCTGCTCCCCGCTCTGGCCCTGGTGAATTCTCTCACCTTCCCGCGCTTCTGACTACCCAGTGCTTGTATAAATAAATAAATAAATCTTTAAAAAAAAAAAAAAAAGAGGAGACTCAAAACCAGGAGAACAGTTAAAAGTCTAATACTGCCACTGAGCCTCTGCCCTGAAATAGGTCTCATGCTGGAGTAAGTGGGCTCTTAGCACACGCTCCATAACGGAGCTTGGTGTAGGCAGAAGTGAAGGAGCCCACCTAACTGTAGAGGTTTTTTTATGGTCTAGTGAACCCAAATGCTTTTTCAGAAAAACTGTTTCTGAGCTCAGATGTTATAATCAGAATAGTTTTGGGAGGTAATAAAATTGTCTCCCTGTTTATATGTGATTTCAAATTAAGTGACAGTGGAAATACAGAGATGTCTTCTGGGCAAAGTCACTTGAGTTCAACCTCTATTCCCTTGAATACCACTTGTTAAAAGTGAAATCAGTTCTGAAAAAGTGCTTCAGAGATAATAAAGATATGGAGAAATACGGGGTTTTTTTTCAGGTATTATTTTTTATTGCAATAAATAGGTTTATAGTTCACCTGTACCTGGCCTCACCTGTGGTTGGCTGGTACATGAGGATGAACCACTCATCCCAAGGGACTCTGCTACCCCTTGAGTCTGAAGGGTAAAAAGCAAAGGCTGGAGTAAATACAAGGGAAGGTGGGAAAGCTCTCTGTAATAGCTCTCACGTGCCAGGTGCTTTTGATTCATCATGTTTCATTTTCATAGCAACCTTGTGAGGTAGGTAGTACTTTCCCCATTTTATAGGTGAGGAAATTTAGGCTCTGATGGGTTAATTAACTTGCCCAGGATCACATAGTAAATGACAGCCAAGAGGAGAGCTGTGAACTTCGGTTATTCAGATGCTAAAACCTACATCCTTTCTACCATATCACCCTGGCCAAGTAACAGGCCCTCATGAACCGCTGGCCACCCTAAGCTGTAAGAGGAGCAAGGGGAGTTAGGAATAGCAGCAAGCATCCCAGAGATGACCCAGTGATGAATCCAGACTCGTGCTCCGAGGGAGGTAGGGAAGCATCAACCGAGTTGCCTGCACTTCCAGCTGCAGGTCCAAGCCTTTCTGGTGTCATCATCAGAGAGAGGGGATTCCACCGTGTCCTTGTCACATAGTCTGCCTTCTGTCATGTAAGGTGATCTGTGGAGTGAGTGCAAAAGTAGAAAACAAAATGAGCATAAATTCAAATCACTACAGTACTCTCACATGCCTATTGAAGTAGGTAACAGTGAAAAAGCTCAGTGTTGGGGTTGCTGTGGGAACATTGGCAGTGTTGCAGCACATAAGAAGAATCAGGTTATGTGACACATCGAGTTTCACCTTTACTTTTTCCTCAGAGGGAAACTGATGCAGAAAGGAAATAAATTGTCCAAGATCATACACTTGTCAATGGCAGGGCCAGGACAAAAACCCAGATGTTTAAACCTCTGCAATATCAGACAGTCCTCAAGAAAATCAAGTTAGGGTGTGTTGAAACATGTAGGATTCCTGTTCTTGTCTGAAGCAGTTTGGTTGGTCAAGGATGGAATTTCAACCCACTCTGTGATCCCAACTCCTGCCAACCCTGGTTTCAGCCTTGGAAGGCTCTAAAGAAAGCCACTGGTGCAGAGGAAAGGAATGAGACATGAGTTAGGCAGGAGTTCCTATCTTGGCTCTGCCACTTCCTGAGTAACCTCAGACTCATTTAATTCTCAGGCCTCTAGTTTTTTCCATTAGATAATTGATAGGCAAGTGATTTTATACTATCAAACTACTCAAACTGAAACTCAGAAAAGTGAGTGGCTTACCCAAGGCCTCACAGCTCATTGGTGGTGGAACCAGGACTGGAACCCAGAGCGGTTGACACAGGTCAGTTCTATGCAAGAACTTCTAAAAGGTGACCCACGGAGTCTCAAGGGAGAGGGAGGCGGGATTGAAATTGACAGTTTCAGTTTGGGATTGAGGTGGAAGAAGAAAAATGACAGGAAATATCTAGAGCAGAACTCTGGATAGACAATTGGAGTCCATGTTTATTCCCTATCGCTATAGAATGGCCTGATGGCTGATTTTGAAAATAGCACAATATGGCAGAGGGAATGATAGAAAACACACAGTTCAATGTTGGGGCCATTTTTGCTCTTGTCCCCTTACTATGAGACTTTGGGTGAGTCACTTCACCTACCTGGCTTTAATTTCCTCACTAGGAAAGTGAAGATAAAAATCCTGTCCCACATTCTTGCGTTGGGTGGCTTTAAGACTCCTGTGGACATGGACTTGAGTTATCACAGATAAAGCCACTTTGTGGGAGTGAGGCTGGCAGGTGGCACAAGATAAAACAGGCAGGTGCCATGGTCAGATTTTTCCTAACCTTCCCCCATGAGTGACCCCTCCATCACTGTCCCAGGTCCTCTTGCCACCTCCTGCCCTGTGCCACCACCGTTTGTCTAGTTTGCTGTTCACCCACACCTCACAACCCCAGCCCTTCTGTGCACAGGTATGAGAGCTCATACTCTAGCATGTTTGCCTGTGTCCTCAAATAGGCCCCACCACAGGCAGTCTTCCATGCTGCACCCCGGGAAACAGAGTAGTGTGTTACAATAGTTATCCTATAGCTTTCTCTTGGCTGGCTGCAATCTGGGATGGCCAGAGTAACCCTGCCAGTTGAGTAGCCTCACCTAAGTATTCCTGTGTGTCAGAGAAATAGAATTTTCTATGTTCTACAACTTGAAGAAATACTGGAAGTACTGCCCCCCCACCCCACACACATATAATTCACACCTGAGTAAATATACATGTCTTTGGCAAGGTTCTTCATCTGTAGAATGTAGGTAATAAAACAGCACACTTCTTCATTTGTAAGATGTAAGTCATGAAACCTATTTTCCTGGCATCATTATGAAGATAAAATGAGTTAATTCTGTGTCAAGCACTTAGAAGCCACATTGGCACTGGAAGCTATTATTGATACATGACAGGGATTCTTAGGATTTGTGGATGGACCTTGGTGGATGGCATATCCCTTGAAATTATATGCACAGTTACGTGTCTGTGTCTGGACTCAGGCGAGGGAGTCCATAGCTTTAATCGGATCCTGAAGTAGCTGGGGAAGCCTCATTCAGCACTCACCCCCTAAGCATTCACATATATTTCATAAAAGCACACGTGCGCAAACACAACGTGCACGGAAGATAAGTACTCGCCGGCCACTTCTTCTGTCTCCATAATTCACCGCCATTGCTCACCAACTCTGGTAAGGTGCGGGTGAGGCAGGCCAGGCCTTTGGCCCTGTTTGTGCTCCCGATACCCTGAAGCGAGGGTGGCTCTGATTGCTGGACTCTCCCGTTCCCACTGGGTTGCATCCCTGATCCCTCCTTCCCCTGGAACATCCCCCCAGTGGACTCTGACACCCACTGGCATGGCCGCCATTACCTTCCCTAGAGTCCAAGGCCTACATGGCCTGTCCCGTTATCTCCTGGTATTTCCTCGTCACCTCCTCGGCTTTCAGGGTAAGGTTTGTGAGGATATGATGGAGGCTGGAGAAGTGCAGGTGGAACTGAGCTTCCAGGTCCAGCTCCCCGGAGAGACTCTCTTCCTCAGCCTCCTCCGTCTCTGCAGTTTCACTCTCAGCCTCTTTGGCTTCACCCTCCACCTTGGCTTGCCACTCCTCCCGGGGCAGGAGCCCGTGGTCCACATCTACACGGATGGCCTTGAGCATGGTGAAGTAGTTGTAGAGATCGGGGGCCCCTGCATGTGCACCCAGCTGCACATCCCGCAGAAGGCTGGGGATCATCACCACCTGCTCCATGTTGCGCACCACGGCTGAGTACCTGTCCATAACAGTCAGCAGGCAGTTCTTGGGATAACGCTTGGTTAGCACCTGCATGGTTGCTTCGCTCCCAGCTGAGTCAGGCAGACTGTCACAGCACTATTTCTAGGCTGTAATTTTTATGTCTGGATCCAACCACAGTTTGACAAGATGCCAAGGCCCAGCCAGTAGATCAACACAACCCTGTTTTAGGCCAATCCCAGGGCTTGGGCCCAGAGCCTGCATCAGGTGATCCATCTGCCCAGGGATAGGCCTGTCATTTCAACACTCCTATGACAGCCACAGCAAGAGCGCAGCTTCTCTTTCATCAGCTCACAGGACCAGTTAGAGGGAAGTGTTTTTCCTTTGGCAACCAGTACACTTGACCCCAGGGCAGTGATTAATTCTTTCAGGTCAGCTGAGACCAAGCTGCCTCTTTACTGCCTGCCTTCCAATGCGCAGCTCACTTCCGGAGTTGGGGTGCTCAGCTGTGAACTGAATAGGTAGGAAGGTCATGAAATGAAATGACTTGATGTGGGCAAAGGGCACTGACTAGGAGCCAGAAGCCCAGTCCTGCAGCCTCCTCGCTGTGTATGTGGCTGATCGCTGGCTGAATCCAAGGAGCTCCTACTCATGTTAAGTTTGGCACTAAGCTCTGCATGAGTTATCTTGTTTAATCTTCACCTCAACACTCTGATGGATGTTTTAATATTGATTTCACCATTGTGAAAACTGAGATGCAGACAGCTGAAGATACTTGTCTAATGTCCACTGGAGCCGGGGTTCAGCCCAGACCACTCTTTCTCACCCCCAAACAGTGCTCCTGAGTGACGTGTGATGCCACATCAGTATTCATACCTGCTCACCGCGTCCATATCCTTATCTGTGTTTCATGTGTTGCTATGAGGATAGACTAAGACAAAACTAATGAAAATGCTTTGCAGGAGCCTCCTTGGTGGCACAGGAGTTAAGTCTCAATGCTATCAAGCTATCTCCAGCCACTGCTGCCTGAGTTCGATCCCCAGCCAGGGAGCTGACCCACATGGTGCAGCAGACCTCTCTGCCCTGTCTCGCCTGCTGCTCCCCTGAGCAGTGTGTTTCAGTGAATCTACCTGTTCTGCTCCCCACTCTGTCTCTGGTGAATCCTCTCACCCCCTGCACATCTGGCCTAGACCCCAGTTCTTGCACGTATAAAAAAGTAAAAGGGGGCCTCCCTGGTGGTGCAAGGGGTTAAGACCCAGCATTATGAAGCTATCATTATGAAGCTATCTGTAGTCACTGCAGCACGAATTCAATCCCCAGCCAGGGAGGTGACCCACATGGCGCAGCAGACCTCTCCTGACTAGCCTGCTGCTCCCCTCAGCAGTGTATTTCAGTTAATCTGCCTGTTCTGTTCCCCACTCTGTCTCTGATGAATCCTCTCACCCCCCACACCTCTGTCCTGTACCTCAGTTCTTATATGCATAAATAAATAAATCTTTTAAAAAAAAAAAAAATAAATCTCTTTTAAAAAAGAAAATGCTTTCAATCCATGAAACACACCCCCAAATGCATTATCTACAAATTCTAGAGTGCTGCTGAAGTCTTACCCAACTCTAACCTGTAATTTCAGAAGCTACAAAGGCACTGACTTAGCCCTCTAGCCAAGAGTCCTGAGGGTAATCATCCTTTGTATAGCTTTGTTATCGCAGGTGACAAACTACATTTGCTGTTCATTTATGTGATAATTTAAAAAAAGACGGAAGCCCAAGGAGAGGCACAGCAAGTTACTGGCAAAGTATAATGGTGAACAAGCGCTTCTAACTTCCGGTCCAGGAACCTGTGTGGGGTGGAAAGATCTGCTAAGTGATGATACCTTTCACCCCAGCAGGTGAGGTGAGGAGAGGAGAGGAAGAGAGTGAAGGGAGGGGGTTTTATCTTACCTCAGCCACTCTCACCATCTCCCCTCATGCAGGAGCCCCCCCACACACACTCACACACACACTCTTCTGACTGACAGCCACCCATTCCCCCCATTCCTACGGCCAGAGTTATGAGAGAGACGATGTTCATGTTGAACTGGATTCTACCTCCCTTTATGCCTTCTACATTAAATTATAGTAGTCACCCCACCCCAATATTAGCGCAACAGAGTAAAATCAATATTGTTTTAAAAACAACACTGTTGGGGCCTCCCTGGTGGCGCAAGGGGTTAAGCATCAGCATATGAAGCAATCCTCAGCTACTGCAGCTCGAGTTAGATCCAGGGAGCTGACCCACATGGCGCAGCAGACCTCTCCTGTCTCGTTCGCTGCTCCCTTCAGCAGTGTTTTTTGGTCAGTCTGCCTGTTCTGCAACCTGCTCTGTCTCTGATGAATCCCCTCACCCTCTGCACCTCTGGCCTGTACCCCAGTTCCTGTATGCATAAATAAATAAATCTTAAAAAAAAAAAAAAAAAAAAAACACTGCTTTTAAAGCCCGAAAAGCCAATTCCTGCCCTTTAATTTACTCAATCCCCACAACAGCGGTATGAGGCAGAAAAACATTAGATTCTTCCCTTTCAGATGAGGAAACAAAAAAGGGGAGGAGGAACTTGACAGGTCTCAGCCCTGTCAGGAGCAGCTCAGCCCAGTTTTCCAGGCTTATCAAAAGCAGAGGTTGTTCTTCTCTCCAAGTTCCCTTTGTGGGTTGGGCCTACACATGGCCACAGGTGACCTAGGGTCAGCCTGTGTTGGACAGTGGCCTTGCTTCTTCAGGCAGAGAGGGCAGCCAAGTCCAGGCTGTGGACCTGCTACAAAGGACAATGCTTCCTCAAGAATCCTTTCTGCACTGCAGGTTGAAGGCAAGCTCATCCCCTTCCACTGAGTGGCCCCAGGCTGCTCACTGCTCCTCTCTGCGCTTCATCTTCCTCCTGTGTTGTAATTATGATAAGAAAAAAAAAACAACAAAAACTGAACCCTTGCTCTGCTAAACTAATATATGCAAAGAGTTTAGGGCAGAATTCAGTACTCCTAACAAATGTAGCAGGTAGTCTCCACTTACAGAGGAGGAACCTGAGGCCTAGGAAGATAAAATAATTAGCCTGAGAACACAAACACAAACTATTTGTTTTTCACCAAGGAAGAATTGGAATGAGTAATGATTCCTTCCCTTGGGTCCCACTGCTTACCTGTGACTATGCAGGTCACTCTTTCCACTAACTCTGTCCTCTGCAGGGCAGCAGCCTTCCTGACTGCCCGTGACCTGCCAAGGCCACCTGCCTGCAACCATGCAGGCCTCTCTTAGTAAACCTGTCCCTTCTGGCGCAGCTCTTCCTGCCCGCTTGTGTCTATGCAAGTGTCTTTAACTGTTTTATCCCTTCCCTAATAAACATGCCCTTTAAATGTTAAAAAAAAAAGTTGAGTTTTGTGAAGCATCTGGTATATTGCAAGACCTCAATAAATACACACTCCCCTTTCCTACTCGACGCTTTTCCCAATTCCTCATTGATTTCTCCATCTGGGACTTACTACATAAATTTCAGTTCATTTGGCACTTATCCAGGGACCCAGCACTGCAAATGCTCAAAAAATACTCACGGAATGATGACCATCGGGTTCACCACATCATACATTCTAGGATTTTTGGTCATAATGTCCAGTCGCCTTGAAAAGCAGGGGCCCTGGCTTGGCAGGAGGCAGTGCTGAGGCCTTCAGCAGGTGAGGGAGGCCTAGTAACCGCAGCCTCACTTGGCCCCAGGAGCTGTGAGCCATGGCAGGTACTTGATACTGAATGAGGAAGTTAGGAAAAGGGTACAAATAGTCAGGATCAGAGGGCCCAAGCCCATTTATCAATCTGAATAAGGAACAATTGGTTGGAACCAGGAGGATGCCCGAAACCCAAGTGCCCCAAGCCCGTTTATCAGACTGAATGAGGAGCAATCAGTTGAAGCGAGGGTGCCTCCAACCCAGTAAAAACTGAACGGTCAGAGCAACAACACAATAACACAGTGACAAAGGAAGGGACCAAAGCTCCTTTCAGGAAAGCAGGCCAAGTAACCTGGGAGACTCAGTGGGCCTCAGTAACCTAGGAGATGGCACAGGCCTCAACCAATCAGCAAGAGGCACAATGCCCAAACATCTAAAGGCCAACTTCTACTCCTTGCTCCCTCCCCCCATATCAACACCAACTTCTTGCCCCCTCAGCATCTACCCACTCAGGACCCTTCTCAGCTCAAAGAGCTTTCCTGTCCTTCTTCTTATCTGTCAATAAATCTCTTGCTTTTCTGGCTAGCTCTGGGCTCCATGTTGAATTCTTTCCTCACTGAGGCAAGAACCGAGAGCACCTCGGGTTCTGGCTCTGGTGCCACAACCCTAGGCCCAATTTAATACCACCTCATGGGCTGGATTCCAAGCTGAGGCTCTTTCCAGAATATTCCTCAGGAAAGAAGGGTGACCACGCTCAAGTCCAACTGTCATTATACCAAGACTTTCCCATCACTTATTTGAGTAAACTGCTGGCAGGACGTGTTCCATCCAGCAGCAGCAGAATGAAGATTTTGCATAAAGTGGTTTCCTAGTTTCAGAGTTATGAGTGGAGAAGAACACATTTTCTAAATTAATAGATGAAAGAGTTTAATTTTAACAGATTACATAATTGAACATTTGATTAATTCATTTCCAGCCCTAAAACATTTTTTGTTTATTTGGTTTTTACCTTTGCTAGAAAAAAAGTTCTGAAAATATTTTCCCCTCAGGAAAGTGGGACTGCTCTTGTGTTTGAGTTTCCAGGATGGCTGAGCAGTGGGTACAGCCAGAGACCACAAGGCTGGATATGGTGGTTTGGGCTCTGAGGCCACTGCCGGGCCCACTTCTGGCCACGGTCCCTGGGTTTGGTGTCCACAGTTAAAACATGAAGAAATTGGAGATCTCTAAAGGGAAGGCCCTTCCAGGTCTGGTTGTATAACTCCTCTGAATCTACGTCCTGGTCACTGAGGGCATTACCCTGCTTTAGTTCTTGCGTTTTCAACCCATCCCCAGGGGCACAAGCTCAGAACTGGGAAACATGCTGTTCTTACTGGGGACAGGGCTGGGAGAGCTGACCGTGCCATGGTGGGGAGG